TGTCAAATGCTTGTCTTTTATAGGTCAGACTTGGGTCTTTGAAAACATTCTGGCGGAGACAGAAGACAGCAGAGTGGAAAAAGCTGTTGGGTTCCATTGCCAAGGTGACGAAGAGGTCTGTGATGTCCGAGGTTATGCCCACCACCCAGATGAGGCCAATGAGGATGTAGGTGCGGCGCACAGTGCAGATCTGGGAGTGGTGCAGGGGGTGGCAGACGGCGATGTAGCGCTCGATGGCCATGCCTGCCAGGTTCAGAGGGGTGCTGCTCGTGGTGAAGACAGCAAGCAGCATGAAAACAGCGCAGAAGGACACATTGATCTTGTAGAAAATGTAACTCAGTAAATTCAACATCATAGTTAGAGTCAGGTGTGCTGCATCATTGATGACCATGTGAATGAACAGGATATAACGTGGATCCTCGTAAAATGTCTGGTTTCTGAGGAACGTGAGTAAAATACACCCACTGATGTAGCTGAAAATGAACCATACCAGCACAGCAATGAAGTTTTTAGTGAAGGCGATGGGCAAAGAGTCTCTGACTGGGGCAGACGAGTTTATCTTGTAGGTCATGTCTAATGGGTCTGCTGTGGAGTTCATTTCTGGGGAAACAATTTTATCATTAAAAGTGAAGTAATAATCCCAGTATAAGAGCCAAATATTTCTCAGAGGAAGCCAGGTTTCTGTCTTTGACAGCCCAGGAAGGTCAGCAGCACCTAAATACCTTATGAAGAGAATGGGTTCAGAGTAGAAATCTGATGCCCAGAACAGCTGTGTCAAAAAAAACATTTACTGCACGGTAATAAAAGCACACACAACACACAATTAATGTGATGCAATTAGCAGGCAGAGTCATTGTATGAATAGAGATAAACTCTATAGAGTCTCCTGTCTGAATGAAGTCTTTCGGCATTGTAATTAGACATATTTCTATGATTTTCCATGTACAAGCTATAGAGGACAAGGAGCAGTCCCATTGTATATACTGTAATCAGAACATGTGAGAAATACTTAGAAATTGCACAACTAATGCTATTACAACTACACTAGAAACGTGTACTTGCTGTTTTCTGTGAGGTATTGTTTCTCATGCATTATAGCTCCCTGTCTTAAGCCCATTTTCCAGCCATTGCCAGACTCACACTCACTCTTGGTCCTTACCTCCCGCAGGCTGCTCTGACAGAGGGGCAGGGGAGCCAGATTATATCAAGGGTTTCTCTGCTGCTGCTCCCCTGCGCTGTGATGTCATCTATGACCAGAAGGTCACAAGGGAGCTCTGGGATGAGCAAAAGGTTAATGAGGCCGGAGTGGATCATGAGACAGATAATTGATCAGGCTGGAATGGCAATCTGATTATTCGGCACCCTTAAGACTTTCAAACAGATTTTGGTACCAGTGAATGTGGTTGTTGCTAATAATTAGTTGCACAGTCAGACGGGCACACAGAGACCAGGCACTTTGACATTTTCTACACGTCTGTGGAGACAAGCTGGCGCAGTGTAGCCTGTGACAGAGGAAGACAAGAGGTGTTGCTGAGCTCTTCATAATGAGTCAGAGCAGAGTTGCACAGAGGAACTGTTATTGACAGTTTTTTGTCTGTGCTACACAGGCTTCTCTGTTTATCCATAAAGAAATGTCTGAAGGTCAATTTTTCAGTCCTTGTCTTCAAAAGAACTTTTCTGGATTTTATTTCTGCTCTTCAAATTTCCAGATGAACCATAAAATTAACCATTTTTAATTAATTACAACATAATGATTTGGGTTCATTTTACTTACCTCCTCCTTTTTATTAATGTAAACAGAAGAAGAAACACAGAAAGTTCAATCCTGAGTGACCCTACCCTCAATGTGACTTCAGTGCCATAAACGTCCTCCCTTCTTATGGATTAACAGCCAGAACAGGCAGGTTGCTATGAACACAAGAGGAACAGGAGATGAAAGAAGATACACAGAATGTTAAATAACTGCAAAAAGCACATCTACAGGCTCTGGAAAATCCTAAAGCCCCACACCTCTCTGGAACACAGCTTGCTTCTATTCAATCAGGGATGACCACTGACCACTGACCAGCTCTCTTTCACAGTCTTTTAAAGACATCAAACTTCACAAGCTGATAACTTATAGAATGATTTCACTTCCTGGAGTAAAAAAAATACTTTATTTTGCAAAGTGTGTGGTGACAGGTCAGATTGTGGGCACAGGGTTATGACTGATAATGGCAAGCAAATTATGTTTCTTAAATAGTTGCAATAATAAAATGTAAGAGTTTTTCTATCTTACTTGATTAATTGAAAACCTTTTTAGAGGAAGTAAGTGAGACAGATTTGCTTCTATTACTTTCTGAGAGCATATGTAAATAATAAAGTAATTCCAAGCCAGGATTCAGCAGCGTGGACTACGTGTGTGAAGGCAACATGTTAGAGACACAATCCGATGACCAGGATGAGAAATGTAAGTCTGTAGCATCTCTGACAGGTGCTTGCCATCACTCAAATCAAAACATGTCCTGCCTTGGAAACATTGTGTTTCTTCTTCGTTTTCCATTTCCTGTGTGGATTTAACCTCTGCTGGTCTCTGTACATTGATTTCCATTCAGTACTGATCAACACAGCTAATAAAACCCCTTCATCATAACCCTTTCACTCCATCATAATCGGGGTGATTGTATAACTTTGTGGACAAAAACACTGCTGAGCAGAAGTATTCCAGCAAACCTTTCCCTCCACAGATACTCTGCGGGGACCTCAGCTGCAGTTTTTATCAAATGGTTTAAAAGCTCAGGAAAAAGTTAATGAGAAAGAAAGGATTTATGATTAAAAAAGAGCAGAATGCAGTTGCATACAGTAAATGGAATATAATGAGCTATAAGCAAAGGCTTAAGACAGAGAGACAGGAAGACAAATTTTGTAATGGAGACTAAAATTAATAAAAAAGTTCTTTAATAATTATAACAGTACAAAGTACAGTAAAGAATGAAGCACAATGTGTCCAAGTCAATAATGGGAAACATCTAGAAAACAAAGGGAAAAGGGATTATGTAACAAATGAGCAGTTTACTCATGTGTTATTAAACACTGTAGAAGCAACAGATTAAATTGAAAAAGATTAGGCTTTACATTTTTAGGATTCTGTTACTTTATGGAACCTTTCTGGGATTAATCTACCATAGTCTGGCATAGGGTCCTAACCAGCCACTTCACTGCAACTCCTGACAAACGTCACCCGATGCAGGATCTGTGTTAGTAGTTAGGGATTTAGGGATTTAACAAGCTACAGCTGTGGGCGGCATTACCTATGTGTCTGCCTGCCTCCCTGCAGACAGAAGGTGATGGCAGGCTTTCTCTCATGCAGGAAAGTGAAATAAGGAAGAGCGTTTTCTCCTCAGTAGCAGAGAGGGGTCTCTTTCTGAGGCATGTTGTTATTGTGATCACCTGTCACATGTGTGGCATGGCAGCTGGGCTGGCCGGCCTGGAGCTACAGAAGTTTGGGTGTGTGTGAGAGAAAAAGACTGTGTGCAGCGGTGGTACTTGAGATGCTGATGGTCCGTGAAGAGTGTGTGAGTTAATGGTGTGAATAGTGCAAAACAGCAGACTAAGCAAGCTATGTCTTCCCCGGAAGAGTAACTTAAAAGCCAGAATCCCGGAGAGAATCCAACCATGAGCTGTTGGATTGCAAGGTCTGTCATGTAGCTGTCATGCCTGAGTGAATGAGGTGAGCAAAGACCAGGAGTTGCTGTGTGGCTGATGGGACATTGGCTCTGTACATGCAGAATGTCAGAGAGAATATCTGGCTACTGGCTGTCTGGCAGGAACAGGTGTTGGCAAGAGGGACCTGGCTATGTATATGCAGAGTGGTTAAGGTCTATCTTGCTGCTGAACTGCTGAGGTGATTTTTAAATAGTGCAGTGTTGAACAGGCAGGAGGTAGCGGCTAGTTAATGCAGCCTGGTTGTGCAGTGTTGAGGCACCAGCAGCTGTATGCCAATGGGAAGATGAAGGCAGACTTGTGGAACACAAGGTATTGAACACAACATAATTACACCAAGGACCTGGGAGCTCTGAACAAGTAGCATATTCAGCTGTTGCTGTGTCAGGTTGCTGGTAAGGTTATGGAGGTGATAAAGCAGTTCTGGCCAAACAGGAAAAATCAAGAGACGGCTTACACTGCTACTACCCCACAAGGGGAATAGTTAGAGACATGGTTCCTGCACAGCAGAGAGTGTGGAGACTGGATGACTCATCCGGTGACTGAGGCAGGGAAGAAGCACTTCAGTCATAATTCCACTACAAGTGGGAAGCAGCTGTTTGTATCTCGATTCTCCGAGTCCGTGAGTAAAGTGCTACAGTCATGGGCAATGACAAGCTTCTGTGAGTGAGAGGTGGTAAGAGGACACGCCTTACAACTCGGATGCTGGTGAACGCAGCTCTGGCAGGCAGGTACACACTCAAGCATTCACCTGTCTGATGAAGTCCTAGGACCTAGGGCTGAGGCTGGAAAGGAAGATGACCGGGAGCTATGTGGCGCCGACCCTAGCGATGCACCAGACACCTTGAGTCCTGTGCAGATTTAAAAAAGGACAGATGGCATTTCTTTAAGCAAGGTGTTGTGGAGATCTAGATTAAACTGCTTTTAATCTATTATGATCACCTAAAAGATTCCATTGTACAGAAGTCATTCCAGATTTTAAAGGAAACATGTCAGGTCAGCCAGACAAATAGAAGTCACTGTAGTACTTGAGGTTCAGGTTGTGATTTGCATGTTATAGCATCATGCAACACAATTAATCACTACCATTTGATTAATCATTAAAATGAACTTCTGAAGTTCTCCACTAACCAAGAACTGTTCTCCCTTTTCATCTGTTAACTGCAGCTCAGTGATTAGCTGTCCGGATTTTTTGCAGTTTTTAATATTTAGAAATACTGACAGAGAAATGGCTTTTATTAAGATGTCAGGGACACATAGACAAGACAATAATTACAATGTTGATGATTTCCAAGACCATAAACACAATTTATGGAAATAATTTTATCTTATTGTAAAGTATTAAGAATATATATTAACCTTTTTGTTCTTTATATAAAAACCATACCACTTGGCAGAAGCTTAAAATAAGAAAAAATTAGACAAAATGTTCTTAATCAGACAGGACATATCAACAGATATCAACAGAACAAGTACTTCTAAAAGCTGTTTTGAAATATAAGAATCTAAAACTTTATTACTTAAATCTCACTTTTAATTGTATATCTAATAAATATCTTATGAAGGAAGTTTTGTTGTATTTTTGAAAGTGAAAATCAATTGATTATGTTAACGTCATATTGCTTCTAGTGATCCAGCCAGACTGCACAGACCCTTGCTGGCTACTGTGTGTTTCCAGGTGTGACTCGTCTCTCCTGGTGCTCTTTCACTGCTGGGACCCTGCATTGACCACAGATGATATACCTGCTCAGGTATCTCCTGAACTTCTCATCTCGCACCCCGTAAATAATGGGGCTTAAGAACCTTGGGAGAATGTAGACAATTAAGAAGGTGCTGTAGCGGATTGCTAAAATGTGTCCTGGGAAGATCATAAGCAACACAATCTCTATGGAGGGGTTGATGTAGGACAGCAGACACATGAGCAGCTGGGCCCCGTGCAGGAGGATAGTTTTTCTCGCCCGTTTAGCACCCAGCTTGTCAGCAGAGAGCGCCTTGGCTGCAAACAGCACCCGCAGGTACGTGTACACCAGGGTGAGGAACACAAACAGGAAGTACAGAATGTCAAATGCTTGTCTTTTATAGGTCAGACTTGGGTCTTTGAAAACATTCTGGCGGAGACAGAAGACAGCAGAGTGGAAAAAGCTGTTGGGTTCCGTTGCCAAGGTGACGAAGAGTTCTGTGATGTCCGGGGTGATGCACACCACCCAGATGAGGACAATGAGGACGTAGGTGCGGCGCACAGTGCAGATCTGGGAGTGTCGCAGGGGGTGGCAGACGGCGATGTAACGCTCGATGGCCATGCCTGCCAGGTTCAGAGGGGTGCTTCTCGTAGTGAAGACAGCAAGTAGGATGAAAACGCAGCAAAATGACACATTGATCTTGTAGAAGATGTAACTCAGCACATGTAGCATGATGGTAACAGTCAGCTGCACTGCATCGTTGATGATCATGTGAATGAACAGGATATAACGCGGATCCTCGTAAAACGTCTGGTTTCTGAAGAACGTGACTACAACACACCCACTGATGTAGCTGAGAATGAGCCATACCAGCACAGCAATGAAGTTTTTAGTAAAGGCGATGGGAAAAGAGTCTCTAACTGGGGCAGCCGAGTTTATCTTGTACGTCGTGTCAAATGGGTCTGTTGTGGAGTTCATATCTGGGGAAACAATTTTATCATTAGAAATGAAATAAAAATCCCAATATTAGGACATAATAAAGGCTCAAAACATGGACAAGCCACTTCTTCCATCTAGTTCTTTGGTAGCTAGTAGCTAACTGATCTGAGGATCCGTCTGAGAATCACATGTCTCTACCTCATAAAAGGTGCTCCCCTAACTTTCTTACACAGTAATCACCTCATCATTTATCAGACACTGTTGTGTGTTCAGAAGAATTAACAGCTGTGTCTGCAAGGATCCCTGAGTTGCAAAGGTCTGTGGTAATTAATAGCATGTCTATTTATTCTAGCCTGCTAGTATTTTTTCTATGTGTGTTTGTTCAAGAAAAGAAAGAAGCTGTTTCGTAGAGACACATTTAAATCTGAGATCTTGAACAAATATTAATTTGTATGTTATTTTAACTAAATAAAATTAATCTAAAAGCACCTGAAGGTGAATTGAAGTGGAGTTTTGTTAGTCTACTTCTCTGCTCTTATCCTTCAAAAGAACTGAAATCTGGCTTTCAAGAAGAGTATTAAAAAATTAAGAGATCACTATTGAAAGATTACATACCTCAGTCCATGTGAAATCTGTGTGTGAGACTTAGGGGGTACCAATCTGTTTATAAACATTTTCAACAACTGCTAATTGATTGTGATGTCATCACTGACACCAGAATAATTGGAGTATAATAAGTATCCAGGGAGTGGTATAACTTGGTATTGGAAATCCCAGTAGACCTTATCTGAAATGTCCTCATTAAACCAACTCAGCTTTATTAAATAGGGTGAGAGCAGATGTTTGCTTTGTAGGTCTTGATATTCTGATATCAGTGTGATTATGAATTTCACAGAATCTTTAAGAACATGTAAGATTATTATTATTATTCGATTATTAAGATTATTATTAGATTATTTCAAAGTCACTATTTATATTTGTTTAATTCCTATTCAAGTCATTGAATTAATGCACTTTGTCTGGGCCATTTGTTCATGCCTAACCTCTGTTGTAGATAATGTGAAGCTCTGCTTTGGCCAAGGCCTACAAAGACCACCTTGAACTCTGCATTAATCTTACGTCAGTCTGTAATTTCTATTGAGGTTTTTCAGTTTACCACTGAACATTTATATTATCTTTCTCTGGTTTAAAATACTTTCTTCTGTCATAGTTTTCCATGGGTTGGATAATTCCGTCTCTCCTGTGTCTGTATTATACTGTGCTGTACTACTCTTCTAATAGTATATAGTATAGTATCCCACAACTGGCTTTTGTCAGGGCTTTTTTTTCAGGCACAACCACTGTTTTATTCATTTTTAATGTTTCCTGTTTTGGTGTTTATTTAATAACAAAATACCTCCCTTTAGTACTCGATATATCTTCCATAGATCCCATCCGTTTTCTAACAGCTACTTCCAGTTCAGGGATGCTGGGGAGCCAGAGGTGGTAGACACCCTGGACGGGACACCAGCTCATCGCAGGTGACTCACAGACTCAAACAGACACATCTCACAGACTCAAACCTCCCCGTATGTCTTTGGAAACCAGGAGGAAGCTGCACCTGGAGAAAACCCACACGAACACAGGTAGACCAAACAGGCTGTGTGTAGTCACTAGATACCTGTTAAGCAAAAACATAAACTTTGACCACTTAGTACGGGGTGTTTTCTAGCATTATTAGTCATAATTATTAACATTACTATAACAGTTTTTGAGGAATGAATTACCTTCTCAATCTAAAGTGTTGGTGTCAATTGGTAAAGTGCAGAAGTGAATTATGAATTATACAGACTCTGGGATTAGTGTTCAACACATCCTGATAATTCTGCTTGAGAGACTGGTAACACTAAGACAGCGCCGTGATGTTAAGTAAGAAGCTGCTTGCCTTGTTTTATAATTAGGAGTGTTTTATTGTTTTTAATTTGTAAACAGAACTCCCAAAAGGTAGTAAACTGAACACCGATGGATCATTTCTACAATTACTGCTATTGTTCTTCAGCAACAACATCTTGCACAAATGCAGCATGTTGACTGAAGTTGCTCCAGAATTTGAAAGAGTGCCCACTTGTGGTTTCAATTTTTTAAGACACGTCCCTGTTAAACTAGATCTGTGACATCATCCAACAAGGGTGATGCGACTGGATGGAGTGTTGGGCCCCTCTGCACAGACAGTGCTGTGTAGGTGGACTTTTCAGGTTCAAGGCACGAATGGAAACCCTTACAGATGGCTCTGACTCCAGCTGCCACACAGACCAGACAAATGCCGGCCAGATACAGCAAGCGGGCCATGTGCTTGACACCCCTGGAGTAGAAGAATCTGTCTGATGGTTTTCAGTGATATACCAACAAAACTAAAGTGTACTAAAGTGTGAAATTGCAAAAGGAGCATAGTAAACCTGCAAAAAATACATGGCAAGTTTTCTCTTTTGTAAGGAAAGTTAAGCTCTTCTTGTTGTATTGTCATATTTTATTGTTAATGAAAAGATTTAGTGGAAGGCTACTAATGTCCTCTGATACAAATTAAGGGCAGCACCAAGACTGACACCACTGAACCACTGTTTTACATGTAGTAGGGGAAAAAGCCAGCGAAGCAGTTCACTGCCCTCTTCTGCAAAATCATAGATATTGAACAAAACTGTCTGAACTGACAGAGATTTATTTTGCTCAACATCATTAAAATGATTGTAGTGAATAAATGTAGTATTTTAAAACATTTAACCAGAAGTGTTTTAATATTCCAGAAACAAAGCAATTGGAAAGATTGTAGTCTGATGTGACTGAGTGTATACAGTAGGAATATGTTTTCTGAGTACTGTGTGCTTCCATCAATTTAGCAGTTTTTACAGTCGGAAATACAGAAAGACATTGATCACACATTCGTCTCAATCTTACAAATCCAAAAACAAGAGCACTAAAGCTAATAAACAGCATTACAAGAAACGGTCTCAGATGGAGTAAGAAAGAAAATGGCTCAAGACCGTCGTATGATCTGCTCCATGTGTGCCAGTCTTCGTTCCAGACCCCTCAGCATGATTCAGATCAATGAGGAGAGATGAAAACCCCTAATCAACACATGTTTGAAGGTCAGTGGTGAGTGCAGCCCAATATCTTGATCACTGGGAAAGGGGGGATCAAAGTCAAACACTGTAGAAATGTTACACTTCAGAGATATTCCTTACTTCATTGATATATACAGTATATAGTATGTATAGTGAGAGAATTTACAATGTTTTGAAGAGGTGGACAAATTTAGGAAGAGCTGGATTGTCTAAATTTACATATTTTACACAGACAGAAGTAATTTTGTAGATATTTTTTAAAAGTCTGGTCTCTGATTCCATAGATAATGGGACTCAAGAATCTGGGCAACACTTGAACAAATAGATAAATAGCGAATTGCACTTCTAACTGGTGCTTTGGGAAAATGTAAAAGAGAATGCCCTCCAGCAGGGGTCCTATGTAAGTGAACATGCACATAAAGAGCTGGGCGGCGTGCAGCAGGACGGTGTTGCGAGCCTTTCTAGCGTCTGCTCTGGCAGCCTTGGCTGCGAACAGGATCCTGAAATACGTGTACACGAGGGTGAGCCAGACAAAACACAGGTACACAGTGTGCAAGATGGTCTTCTTTTTCAGTAGGACTGGATGCCGGAAAACCGTGTCCCGCAAACAAAAAACAGTGGAGTGGAAGAAAGCGAAAGGTTCTGTTGCCAGGATCACAAACAGATCTGGCAGAATCTGAATGGCGCCCAGGGTCCAGATGAGGGCAATGAGGACGTAGGTGCGGCGCACAGTGCAGATCTGGGAGTGGCGCAGGGGGTGGCAGATGGCGATGTAGCGCTCGATGGCCATGCCTGCCAGGTTCAGAGGGGTGTTGATTGTGGTGAAGATGGCAATCAACAACATGACGCAGCAGAAAGAGACGTTAATGGTAAAAAACACATAGCTGAACACATGCAAGAGTACGGCAATGGTCAATTGGATCATGTCATTGAGAACCATGTGGATGAAGAGGATGTAGCGGGAATTTTGGTAGAGGATCTCATTCTTGAAGAACACGTACACCAGAGTCCCGTTGATGAAGTTGATGGAGATGCACAGGAGGACAATGATTGTGTTTTTTGCCACTGCTGTCTCAAGAGTGTCTCTAACCTTGAAGCAGGAGATGTTGCTGCAGGTTGAAGCACCTACAGAGGTGTTCATCACTCTGCACTCTGTCACAGGACTGCATTAAGCACAGAGGAGAAACACAGACATGATTTTTTGAAAGCTTTACCTATTACACTCAGAAAACCAGAGAGGAAACCTGCCCCCCCAAAAAAAGATGACTTAACAAATGAGGTTCAATTCAACACCTTCAGATTTGAGGTCTGTAAAATATTTTATTTAATTTTTAAGTAAATATATATTGTATATTATTTTGCATCTCCCAGAAAATCAAAGGAATTTGGAATTTTCTCCAAATTGTGTTATTTATTTAAAAAAATAGATTTTTCAGAACAGGGATATAAATATACCATACATACTGTAGAAATATTATTGTTACAACTTTAAAACAAATGTCTAATACAACCTGAAAATATTACAGATTGGTTATGAGAAACCATGGGTTTGATTATTTGATTACCCCCTCAGTAAATACTTACCAGTAAAAACTTTGTATCATTAACTTTCATATTGCAGCATATTATAAACAGTGACCCCAAGTTCAACATACTGGGGGCTTCATGGTGCATTTTGAAATAATAAAAAATGGAGGTAAAGAAATAAAAAATAAATTAGATGAGTACACTCACCGCCCTGCTTACAGATTAAAGAAGATGAGAAAACATCTTCTGTGACCACTGGCATGTATGTTTATATAGACCATAAAGTACCTTGAGATTAATCTGATATAGAACAGGAAATCTCTTGAGGCACCATAGAACTTTACATGACTGATTGGGAAAGAGCAAACCCAGCTTTTAGCAATCATAAGTACTTCTGTCTTAGAAAAGCCGGTCGGCAGATTCAGTTTTTATTCTACACCTTCTTGCAATTTACATTTATGTTTTATTCATTCATTTGTTTTCTGGATCAAGACAGGTAAAAAAACTGAAATCATTAGAAAGGAAAGTTAATGAAGAGAGACCATTTTCCATCTCTTCACAGTGCATTAATGTTTTTAAGTTGAAAAGATATATATATATAAAATGTATATAAATGTGGGTGATCAGGTGACAGTCCAACACAAAAGAGCCTCAGTCTTGCCACTCAGCTTACAGAGGGTTGGGCCATTGTTCTGGGGAGGGGGGCTAATTAGAGAACAGCAACAGCTCAGGTGATAAAGGTCAGTCTGCAAGTGAATCACTGCCCTGCTGATTATACACCTGCTCAAGTGCATACTCTGTGACAAATGTCTGTTTTCAGTCCTTCAGCTCGGCCTGAAGGAGAACCACACATCCAGGAGGGTTTAAAGGAGGGACATCCTGGGAAATTATGCTTTAGGTTAAAGGTTTTTAATCCACTAGTTAGTGTCATGCCCCACACTCTCCCTCATAAACACCATTACATTCCCAAACCACTGTCTCACGATCTCATTCCTAATTGAACCCATCACATTCTCACATGCCCCAGATTCCACAAATTCTCACTACCGGACCAATTATCCAACACATCCCTTTCCCTTCAGTATTTAAAGTTCCCTCAGGCACCAACCCATGCTTGCTATTGACAAGCTTCCTGTAGTATTTCCTTGTGTGTTTCAACCTTTTTGACTGATCTCTTGGCCCCTAATCCTGGCTACAACCTTTTTTGGGCACCTCTTTGGATTTCATTTTTCAGAGTCTTCCTTAGGTTTCCCTGGTTACTGGTCTCATTGCTTCTCCAATTGACCAAGCCCCTGGATTATGTGTTTGGGATATTGTCCCTGTGCTTCTCTACACTCTGCAGGATTCATGGCTATGCATAAGGATCCTCCCATTCCCTGGCAGTTAGACCTTATTGAGAATTGTGTGTTCAGTCTGGAGATTGGTGCAAGTCTGCAGTGGCATTGTCTCTCACCACTGGGGCCCTGGGTTCAGTTGCTGGACCTGAGTGGAGTTTCTATGTTTTCCCTGTATTCACATGGGTTTTTTCTGGGTACCCCATTTTTGCTTGTACAGTCCAAAGACATATTGGTAGATAAATTGGCATCCGGGAAAACTGGCCCTGGTGTGAGTGTGTCTGTGTGTCCTGGATAGATGGCTGTCCTGTTGAGGGTGTACCCCACCTTGCATCCATTGCTTGCTGGGATAGAGTCCATCTCTACTGCTATCCTGACTTGGAAGAAGTGGTTAGGAAACTCATGGATGGATGTTCAGTCTTGGTTGCTGTATTACAGAAATCAGAAAGAATTCATACACAGATATATTACTGCTGCTAACTCTCTTCAGTATTCAACAAAGCGGATTGAGAGGAGATCGGATCCAAGTATCTAAAATTCCAGGAGAGATAGGTACAATCAATCCAGGGCATTATTCCACAAACTGGGGAAAAACTACATGGGGTCAAAAACTGTTCCTTATTCCATTTAGGATGGAGAATATGGAATTATTCTTTACACAAAGAGCTGTGGCTCTCTGGAATAACCGTCCCAGTCAGGTTGTTGAAGCTCAGACTGGGAGCCTTCAAGAAACAGCAAATTTTAGATTTGCTTAGCCACTGAACTATAAAACCAGCAAGATGTGTCAAATAGCCTAGTCTAGTTTGCAACTTTATTTAAATAAGATAAACTAGATATGAAAACAAAAAGCCCTGTAAAGTAACCCCTTCTCAAACCTAACCATTTGCTTCTGACAGACAGTGATTTAGCACCAGATAAGCTTACATTTGTTTAGGTTTGCTTCTCTTAAATACTACTGAACTTCATTGTACCTGTATATTGAGTCATATCCGTGTATGAGATAAGTTCATGTTAATTTTACATTGCAAATTAGAAAAAAGAACAAGTTCATAAAGGTTGTTACCTTTACATCACCTATATTTATAAAAGCATCAGCCATTCAATCTTTGTTGATAGTTTATTTTATTCTGTATCTGTCAAGTCTTTCTTCTCTATATATTCCATTATTTCATATAACTGTTTTTTTCTATAAAACTATAACAAAAACAACTTATCCTGTTAAAATATTTATTTTTATTTTTTGTGAATAAAGCCTACAGAATATTGAAAGAGGAGTTCTCAAAATTTCTATTGAGAACACTTTCATAAATTTTTACATCTCAGGTTTGTTTTTACACAGGGAGGTTCTGGTCTCTGTTTTGCTGCAGTTGTATTAGTGTAATGTGAGGCTAATTACCGTCTCACTGACAAGGCTTGGGGGATTCTATGACATTTCAGCCTCTCTGTAGAATCCTGTCAGGAAGGCACCAAAGACATCATTAATGGAAACCGGCTCCTCGTCCCCATCAGTCCTCATTAGCCACAACTGACAAAGGTCAGGAGTGACATGGCACTTGTTTTTAAGGGAACAATTGGCATTCAAGGGACTTATTAAGCATGCTAATGGGAAGAGAATGGGGCTCACCTGAGAAAAGCACAACTCTGTGCAAGAACAATTAGCAATCTTTCTGACAGGCCTCTTCGCCAGCTCTGCACAGCCTGGGCTGCACTGTTGACCTCTGACTGGTAGTTAAAGAGCTGTGTCTCCTGCTTAGGTTGTATCTCAGAAAACTCCCTTTGCATGAACAAGTTTGCATAAACATGCATAAAAAGCATCAGTTTGCAATTGCGATGATTAAATTCAATATTGATATTTTATTTTGGAAACCAAAAAGTAAAATTTTTTATTACTGTCTGCAATAATACGGATTTATTTTTTTAATTATTTTATTACAAAAATGATTGTTAGGAAATATACAGATAAAAACAGTATATAGAGTTACATATTAAATAATATGGTAGTCTGAGTTCACAAATTTTCACAAATATCTGCAGAAACATCTGCAGAAAAGTAGAATTTTCTTTATTTAAAATACAACACAGGAGCAAAGAAATATTAGTACAGAAATCCAGCAAGAGCAGAATTTTAATGGAGCTTTTATATTTCCCTCTTTTATATGGAAATATAAAAATCTGGTTTATAGAGGATGACTCTTCTAATATTGAACATAAGATTGAACATCTGGCCTATAATCTCATTCACAGGATTAATTCAGTTTGTGGCCTTCCTATCACCTCACAGTAACACCAGACAAAAGCAGTGAATGCAGGATAACAGCAGGACATTCCTTTCTTAATCAGCAAGATTGTCGTTGTGATGTTCTGGAACAGATCGTATGTAAAAATATATTTTAAAAAACAATTGAATTTAAATTTTGAATGCATCCTTGGTCTATGTTGGGATATGTGCAACAATTAACATAGAAAGCTTTCTGTCATGCGGAAACTTCGAGAAGAGAAGGGATGATACTACAGTATGATATGAGCTACAGTGTTTTTTTGTTGTATTTTTGAAACATATGATGACATTCTTCCACACTGGCTATTAAAAAAACCCCAGGGTTTCACTTTGGAATGATCATTATTTCTAAAGCTGGAGATGTTGAAAGTAATGTGAAAGCTACCCAAGCTAAACCATCTCTCCTAGATTGCAATGTATGAATGACACTTTCAAAGAAACAGCTTTGTGTCTTCTATACTTTTTGACATTGATTAACATTATATAAGGTAAGCACACTACATGAGCATTTCTCTTACATAAGTCTTTAGCTGAATTACCCTGTATGATTACAAAAATGTGCTTATCGTTCCTGCCCATCATCACCGAGAACTCAGCAGTTCTCACTGGAGTGGCTGAGCGCAGACCCTGCGCATTCTGTGGTGAGCAGGGAAGACTCTGTTCTTCAGAGTGCTGTGGCTACATAGCTTTCCACACCCAGCAAGAGAGGTGTTCACGTGGAAAGGAATGTACACTGGCGGCGTAATAGACTGTTACAGTCCAGTCTTTACCTGTGAGACTTCCTCTCTTCACAGCACTGCAAATACTGGGTTGACTACTACCACCTGAATTAACAAAATGGATAATTCATTAACTATTCAATTCCTTTGAGATAAAGATACTGTAAAGCCTTCTGGTATCCTACCAGATAAGATGGTGTTTGAAGAATTCATATCCTTGGAGTATTGTCACCTGAAATCAGGGATATGACCCCAGACTGGCTTTACAGACAGGGAAACCCATTCCATTTGCAGTGCATGTTCGGGATGTGCTGTGTGTTGTCTCTACTTATCCCTCCTTCAGTTTTCATTACAGAAAAAAATATTTACAGTTGTTATTTAAAACAGACTCAATATTGCATTTACCTTTTGTTATTCAATAAATATTTTTTCTTTTATATAAACAACTGTGTCAGCAAAGTTTAAATGACAGTATGAAATACTTGTATTAACTGATTAACTGAGTTATTTTGTAAATATATTTAATATATCATTTAGAAACATAGATACCAGTTTCCTTTTTTAATAATTATATCAAGAAGCAAATATAACTTCTTTTACATTAAAAGACATAAAATAAAAACCCATGATGATAAGATTTTGGCTCTGCTGCCCACTAAGAGATATTAGAGCTGATATACAGTAGTGCCTGTTTCTTGCTCTTTTACTGTAAAAAAGAAAGATAAAGGGTTATTTTTTCAATGTAGTGAGGGGGGTAAGGTTTTATGAAAAAAACTAGAGAGAGAGAAATTGTATTCAGCAGGATGATCAACAATTAAAGCAACAGATGAATCTTGAGCGGCCTGATTGTGGGATTTATCAGCATTTACAATGGAAACCCAAGCCTGGCTCATCACCTTCATAGTCTGGACAGTGTGTGAGGTGAAGATCCTACTGTGAGCCAGGTCCCAGTGTGTTCTGAATGATGTTAGTGTTTCTGTTATACAAGCAGGTTGTGGTCACAGAGAACCCTTAATACAGAGAGTACAGAGTTGAGTGACAGGAGCCCCCTTCAACAGAAGATCTGCACCTCACTTCCTGGACAGCAGCTGGTTCTCCAGATCTTCCAGCCGGGCCGTCATCCCTGCCAGTGCCAGCTGTTAAGGAACTTGCAGAGAAAGCCCGTGTTGTGCTATCGTCATATTGAGCTCTTACGTAGTCTTCAGTGAGCTGTTACTGAGCGTTAGGTTCAGAGAGCACAGTGTTTAGAGAGCGGACTCAGAGGAGAGAGCACTATGCTGCTGTGTGCAGTTCTGATCTCAGCCACACAGCCTTTCAGTTCATGTCTATATTATAGCTCCACAGTGCTTAATAAGCAGTAACTGGATAATTGATTGCTTATATGAAACACAGTAAACACTCATTCCAGGTTTTTCAGCTGTTGATGATTTAAAGAGGCCTCTAGCCCCTCCTTTTCTGCAGAACACACTTCTCTCACATATACACTTTTAAACACAGAAACTCACTGGCCTGGCACTGCTTTCATTTCTTTTTAAAGACTATAAACAATCTTGGGCATATCAAACTAGCACTGCGCTGTTAGTGTACCTGTCATGAGAAAGTGCGCCTTGGTATATTGACATTGCAGCATGTGGAATCTGGCAGACCACAGCTGGTGGATCTGAATTTTATAACTCCTGCTTAAGGCTGCAGCCATAAAACTCTCATTGTTCACCAACCTCCATCACGTGTTCGTGATCATTTAAAAGACAAATAATAAATCAGTGAAAAGAAACCACTTTTGGCAGCTCTCCTGTAAAGGAACCTTCTGCGGGCACATTAGCTTCCGAATGAGTGAAATTCACAAGGATCTCTTTCCAGCCAGATCGACACTTGGGGCAGAGGTCAAGCATGCAGAGAACATCCTCACAAAGAGTCATTGAAGCCCTCTTACTCATCACACAGCAGTGTCTGAGTGGGGCAGTGTACACACTTTGTCTGCTCTTTCAGGCAGTGCTCTGTCTCGCTCCTATGGAATATCAAGGTGCAGTCAACAAGGGACAAAACAGTACAAAGAGATGGAGGTCCCAGAGGCATAGGCCACTGTGCAAGATGTTCCATTTGTGTCAGCTCCATGTCCCACCCCTGCACTGTGTGTTGGACCTAGTGTCTGCGATATGGCTGTCGCTCTCAGTAAGATGGGCCAGACCAGAGCTGGCCATGGGTCTGTGGGTCTAGCTTAGCCTTAGAAAGGATATGTTTCTGTGTCAGCTGCTCCAGGGTGCTCAAGGTGCTTTGCTGGAACTCCACCAAGCTCTCGCAGGCACATGGGTCCTTCACCTCAATCTCGCCCTGGCTCTCCTCTGAGACAGGAGACAGACAGGAGACAGACAGGAGACAGACAGTGAGCTGGTGCACACCCCATGGAAGCACCTCACTTCTCCTCATTCTCTCCAGGGCACATATGAAACATGTTTTCTGGGATCCTTCAAATAAAAGCTGGCGGAGATCCTGGAATCAATTAGCAAGCAGCAAGGGCAATGGCAAGGCGGTTTGGAGAGAGGAGAGAGGACTGACAGACTCCTGTGCCCATCATCCCATTAATCCTTCTCATTTCCAATGTACCAAACTCCATGGGAAATTGTTAAAATGTTTACTTTAAGGAAAGAAGAAATAATCAGATGTACCTATTTGGTTAAATAATTTGCATTTGTATAGTGCTTTCCATCACAAACGATCCCAGAGAGACATACATATTGGAGAGGGCCCATGTCACTCTCCCAGAGTGAGATGCAACCTGGACACTGGAGTTATTACTCCTACTCTCGCCATCAGTTACCGGGGATCTGTGAAATTCAAGTGGCTGGGAGACTTTTGTTTAATGACTTGTTTAAAGGACAGCAACTCCTATAGCACAGTTTCTGAATGTTACCACACTGTGGAACTGGACTGGAAACTCACCAACTGGTCAACACCTTTGACAGACAGCGACATGGCGTTCCTTAGAGGTCTCGCAACCCAGCACTGTCCAGGCCCAGCCTTGATTACCACAGCTGTCACATTTCATACAATCACATTGTATTGAAAGACAGGAGGACAAACGACGTCTGGAGGTCTGGAGTGTTCTCTGTGTAAACTGTACCTGCGCAGATGTTGAGTTTGAGGTTCTCCGCGATCTGGTTGATGGCAGTGAAGTCAGTGGTGTAGAAGAAGTGCTTGTCCACCGGCTCGGAGGCAATTTCCCTCAGCTCCTCCTCCAATGCTTTGCCCACCCCCACCGCGTACATGGTGATGCCTGGGAGAGATGGGAGAAGGGGCAGACCCGAGGTCAGGAGGACAAGGAGAGAGAGCAGGGCCAGGATCATCCAGGAGGAGTCAGAGAGAGGGGGTGGAAAGGCAACACAGGGAGAAGGCGTCTAGCTAAAGAAGATGGAGGAATATTGTCAAGAAAGTCTAAACAGTATCTTCAGCAGAAATCCTTCCTAATGTCCATTTAGTGCACAAAACACTTAAGACAGTTTTTAAAAGAGAGTGGCTGAAATGCACGTTCTCCATTGCACTGCAGACTATATCTTTACTGGGACCTTAGTTCCCCATGTCTACCTTCAGTAAAATGTAATTTACTTCAATACTGCAGGAAACACAAAGCTAAGGACTGAAGAAAAGAAGTGTTTCAGGTAGATAACAAACAGCTAAATAGGTGACAAAGTGTGTTTGATGTTCTTAGGTGATAAAGGATCCTGGTCCTCACCAGCATCCTTGGCCTTCTTAGCCCACTCAGTGATGTCATCCTGGGATCGCCCATCGGTGAACACCAGGCCGACTCTGGGGATGCCCTTGCTGGGTGGACGAGCACCCTCGGCTTCAGAGAAGCTGTTCTCCACCAGGTGTTTGAGTGCCAGCCCGGTCATAGTGCCCTTCTCCATGTACTCTACCTTCAGCACGGCATTCTTGATGTCCTCAGCACTCTTGTACTGGCTGAGTGGAAACTCGGTACGCACTCGGCTTGAGTACTGGACCAGCCCCACCCGTGTGCCGTGGGCCGAGACGTCCAGAGAATCCACAACCTGGTTCACAAACTGCTTCACCAGCTCGAAGTTCTGTGGGCGCACGCTCTTCGAGCCATCGATGACCATCACCAGGTCGATATTGGCGCTCCTGCAGGCTGAAGGGGAAGGCACAACAGATACAACTGACAGTTTGACTTTAGTGTTTTCCAGAGACCCTCCATCCTAACACTCAGACAGTGTTTTGTGAACATGTGAGAGTTTTTATTACTTTGTGTGTGTGTTTAGACACCTGTAAGCTTTTGCTTGATGGTAATCATTCCAGGCTGTCAAAGATCAGAAATCTGGCATATGTAACCTGTGACTTTGAATGATAGAAAGATATCAGACTCTGTGCCACTCGGCCCTTTGAAGCCCAGTATCCTGCCTGCACTGTCAGCAGTGGGAGGTCACATAGAGCTCTGTGTGTGGGAATGGTATTATTGTGCACAAAGGTGTGTTTCAAACCTGCAGGAGTGAGAGAAGCTGCAGAGATGGAGAGAGGCTGTTCGCCCTGAGTGATTCTGATACGTACTGCTGCAGCTTTTCCCATCCTCCTGCAGCAGCTGGCCCTCAGGGCAGACACAGTGGTAGGAGCCGGGGGCGCTGACGCAGCGGTGCTCACAGCCGTGCTCCACGGTGTTACACAGGTCCTCCACTGTGGGAAGAGACAGGTGTGAGTCCAAGGGCAGACAAAGGCACTGCAGGAGCATCAGGGCTGAGGGTTTGGGGCTCAGGGCTGAGGGTTTGGGGATCAGAGCTGTGGGTTTAGGGCTTAGGGCTGAGAGTTTGGGGCTCAGGGCCGGGGGTTTGGGGATCAGAGCTGGGGGATCATGGATGGGCTTTTGGGGTTCAGGGCTGGGGGTATGATCTGTCAATCACACTTAGGAGCTGATCCCAAAATAATCTGTAATCTGGGGAAGGAGGAGGAATTGATTGAATGATCATGGAAACTAATGCCTAGGATTGAACCTAATCTCTGATCTGCTCCAACAATTCACAATTAAAAAAAAACATTTTTTATTTATGAATGGAAGAGGTTAGAAGATGAAATAAGCTGCCTTAAAATACTGGGACTGTATTTCCCATTGTTGGTTTGGCCAAAGTTTTTATTTAACCATGACCTGTTTTTTTCATTTATGAAAAATTTGGAAATGAAATTCCAATGCCTTAGTTTGGAGGGAAAATATTTACTTATAATATGCTAATCTAGGACAATAATGACACTCAAGGGTCTTGAGCACAAAACCACAAACCCTGTTAATCACACTGAGCAAAGCACAGGTCAGCATGACGACCAGACTCTTTAAGGCAAGTGAACTGTATTTCCGTATTAATTTGTGACTGTGGGCTCTGCAGTGAGGGTTTCCAGTGATTTTGTAGCCGCTGATCTCAACTTACACTGGCAGGTCTTCCCATCATCCAGGAGTGTGTATCCTTCATTACAGCGACAAAAGTAGCCGTTCAGGACACTGACACACTCATGCTGACAGCTGTGATTTCCAAACGAACAGTAGTCGATCACTGAAGGGAGAGAGAATGTGATGTTCACAAAACATCCCATAGCTTCTATTGAAGTGATGCACCTTTACCTCTTGCAGAGAAGTTACATCAGTGCTCTCCTCAGTAACACTTTAGGTTAGGTTTCCATGGTCAGTGGTTATAAATAACCTATTAACGGTTTATTAGTTATGGTATCAACAGTAACAGAATATTGGAAATTGTATGAGTATTACAGTTAGCATCTCCTTTTTTCTTATAATATTATTCTTATATATGTATGTACTATAATACTCTTACTTTTCTAAATATTCCACTGTTAACATCATAATAATACTGTTATAAGATTGTTTATAATCACTTACTTGCAGATGATCTGCAAACTAAAGTGTTACCATTTTCTATGCCGGACATTTCCAAGTAAATTGTTTTTTTTATTTTGCTGAAGTTCAGATTTTTCAAGTCTCTTGATGGCATACAGGTCTCACTCACCTCTTCATTCCATGTACAAATTTGGGGGGGTTCAGAAGGGTTATGGGGTAAAACTTGACTACACGCGGTTTTGGGTTTACTCACTACTCAAAATCCCTAACCTCTGCGTCAGTTTCAAGTTACATCAAACTGTAATATTAAAAGTGAAGGAGAGTAAATCCAGACTCCGCAGTTCCGTGTCAGAGGCAGTACGTGTACAGCCAGTGCTTTCAGAAGTGCAGAGTGTAGAGAGGTCATTAGATCTCCGGCCTCCCAGCTCCAGGAAAGGTCTAATGAAATCCCTCAAAAACAGAGCTTGTTTTGTATTACAGCATGGTTTTCTGGTGTAAGAAGATAGATGGCTTTTATTATTTTGGAAAGATGAAAGTACCCATCATAATGGTAATGGTAAAGTCCTTCCTTTGCCCACTTGTGTTAAATAAAAAAAAAATAGGAAAAGCCAGCCATTTAATTTAATATCAAAACAAGCATCTAACCAACTGGATAGCACCCTAAATTTTTCATTTTGTTTTTCTTCCTTTCAGTAGAAAACAAAGTTTTGTGTTGCCAGAGGGGCAGCACGGAGAGCTCTCAGTGCAGGAGGGCCCCCTCATCTCTCCTACAGGGAGGATGGTTTTACAAATGGGCTGTATGAAAGATTATTTTAAACAAAGTTCTTCCATTCAGAGAAGTGCAGAGCGTCTGCAGGTAATTGTCTTATTTTTGTGAACAGCACAACAGCCCCTCTTAGGGGAGTCCTGGCAGCATGGGGCTGTGTGCCAGCACTTGCAGAGCGTGATCGGCTGTCTGCAGCATGCATTGCATCACGCCCAGGCGCAGGACAGGGAGGGATGATGAAAGGCAGCTGCAGACGGCCCTGGGGAACAGCCGCGCCGCTCACTAACTTGTGCACGTCATCTTGTCCTGGTTCAGGTAGAAGCCAGCCCGGCAGCGGCAGGTGTAGGACCCTGGAGAGCTGACGCAGATCTGCTCACAGCTGTGCTTGCCCCCTGCACACAGGTCGATGGCTGGAAAGGAGAGACACGACACAAAGGACACCTCGTTGTCAGCAGGGGAGATATGCATGGAAAACCAGGCACAACAGGCCATTATTTAGTATGTAATTTGGGGCTACTGGTTTAATTCAAGCCTGGCTGACAGAACAGAGTGCTTGTCATGTTTTGAACTTATAAGAACATGGCTCATAGAACAGCTTTTATTCAAGTGCTTCCCGCTTTCTCCCACCTCCTGAAGGCACACTTGGCTCAGTCAATTGATGTTCCTAACACTGACCCTGACCCCAGTGTCCCATCCAAGGGTATGGTCCTGCCTTCTGTCTGTGATGGACTGGTGTCCTGGCCTGGGTGTGTCCTGCCTTGTGTCCTGTGATGGACTGGTGTCCTGTCCTGGCTGTGATCCAGTTTTGTGTCCTGTGACGGACTGGTGTCCTGTCCTGGGTGTGTCCTGTCTTGTGTCCTGTGATGTGTCCTGTGATGTGTCCTGTGATGTGTCCTGTGATGTGTCCTGTGACGGACTGGTGTCCTGTCCTGGGTGTGTCCTGTCTTGTGTCCTGTGATGGACTGGAGTCCTGTCCAAGGTGTGTCCTGCCTTGTACCCTCTTAAGGACTGGTGTCCTGTCCAGGGTGTGCTTCTTTCTTGTGCCATGGCTTCTGGAAATACCTCTGGCTTGTAACAAGGAATATATGACTTTCTGGTGTGTGAATAATTTTCCCTTTTTTAAGAAATATCACAATTTTACTTTATCCTGGAATGCAGCTTCACCAAAAAAAAAACTTCACAGAGATACAACAGATAATTTATCTTTTTCTGTTGGCCTTTTCTGAACATGTGGTTCAGTAATGGACTTGTGTCTCACATTAGGTCCCAAAGTTATTAGCCTAATTTAAGTTACATAACATTTTATTGAATACTTGGTAAATAGATAAATATAAAGCATACGGAGAAAGAATAATTTTTCAGAATGTGTCAGAATGATGGACTGTTTTTAATACTGCTGGACAAAAATGCTAATTCTATTTTGATCTTTTTTAACTGTTTGCAGTTCATTTCTTATTTAATCTTCTTTGCACATTCATGCACATTTATTTAGATAATAAATTAAACAAGTTTGGAATGAAACCAAAGCCACTTTATTTTCAAACCATATTTCAGAGTAAACAAAAACAAAACTAAGGCATAAGTTAGATCAAATCACGTGTCAGCTTAAAGGTACTGCAAAAAGCACACTGCACTGGCTGGTCTCCAATGGGTAGAAAGAAGGAGTCTGCTATCAGAGTCTTGTAACGCTCGCCTGGCAGAGAGGTGTCCTGATGTAATCCTGTCTTTATTGCTGGCCAGTGAGAGTCCAAAGCCTACATGCTACCCACCTGAGCAGGTCTTGCTGTCAGTATTCAGGGTATACCCTGCACGGCATTCACAGTGGTACGACCCAGGAGAGCTCACACAGATGTGCTGACAGCCGTGGTCCATCTCGGTGCACAAATCCACACCTGCAGATAGAAACAGCTCCTTTTGTAGTTTTATCTTTAAAACCTTTTCTTTTTCTTTAGTTAGGGAAATGTTTTAAAACAAAGAAAAGTAAAAATGAATTTCATAATATCAAATCAAAAGGTCTACAAAAGACAAATTTACATTTGAATTTCAATATTTCAAATGCCAGATGAGACATATTGAGATCATTTGTTTTCTTGTAGCAATATCCAGAGCCTGACTGATGTAGGAGGATGATGTCCAAGTATGGGTGAAGGGAGGGCATTGCAGTGTAGCGGGATGCGATCGAAGTGTGGCAGAGTGAGGAGAGAGAGGTGGAGAAGAGGAGGAGTGTGGAGGGAGTGGAGAACAGGAGTGTGGCAGAGTGAGATGAGAGATGTCTTACCGCAGAGCTTGTCCTGGAACTGCAGGCCAAACTGGTGGATGAGGTCGAAGGACTCCACCAGGAAGACATGGTCCTTCAGAGGCGGGGAGGCCATGGCGCGCAGAGACGTCATGTCAGCTCTGGCCACTCCCACAGCATAGATCTCGATCTTTCGGTCTCGCGCCTGGGCGGCCACTTCTGCCACCCGGTCCTGTGGTCGCCCGTCTGTCACGATCACCGCCACGCTGGGGACGCCGCGCCGTGCCCCCTCCTCAGGCGAGAACGCGACGCTCATGGCATACTGGATGGCCAGCCCCGTCATGGTGCCCTGCGCCAGTGGGATGATCTCGTTGATGGCCTTCACCATGTCGGCCTTGCGCGTGAAGCTCTTGAGCGAGAAGACGTTCTGCACCTGGCTGGAGTACTGCACCACGCCCACTCTGGTGGCATTGGCGCCCACGTCCAGCGTGTGGATGATGTCAATCATGAATTTGCGCATGGTCTCGAATTCAAAGGGCCGCACGCTGCGCGAGCTGTCGATGATGAACACCAAGTCGATAGGCCCCGTCTTGCATTTGCTGTCTGCTGCTTATGCAATAAATAAATGAGAAAAAAGTCACGCTTTGCAGAGAACTGACTGTTATCAATAACAACAAAATCAAGACAGTGTTTGTCTTTTTTTTTTACAATAACTGAGAAGATAGATTGAGATGGTGCAGCTTCATGATATAGACAACAGTTACAAGAAATAATCTTGACCTTTCATTTAAGAAAAGAACTTCCAAGCTGCAGCTCCTGCTATTCGAGAGGTAATGCTTTGTCTCACCTGGTCGCTGTGGCCTGGCCTCCAGGAATGCAACCAGGGCGAGGAGGAGAAGCAGCTTCATTCTGAGAGCGGTGTCTGGACTGAGGGCTGTGTGGACTGAACTTCACTGGGAGAGAAATGAACACAAAGTCAGAGTATATTTCTGGCTACAGCAAATTCTTCTCTGTCTTTCTCTGGATCCCACGCCTAACAGAAACCTGGAAAGATTAGAAATCACAGGGTTGTGTAGAGTGAAATGCCTTAGAGGAGATAAGATGAGCCTCACCAAAAAAAAACTGTTTCTGTTTTCCATCTTCTTTTTTTTAACCAGCAAAACTAATCTGTTACATGAATTGGGTGTTATCCAGAACTATTCCTTTTGTTCTCAATACAGAGTTCAGTAAGAGTTTATCAATACAGAAGTGTTGTGTCCAGATTGGCTTTGTCTCATTTAATTCCAATAGATCACAGTAATTTATTTTGGAGGGAATTTATAGGACCACCAACACTTTAATGCTACAGCAGTTCCATCTGTTTAAAATCTCACTGTCAGGAGTACATGTGAGAAAGAGCAGCTTTAGCAAAAGCTACAGGCCTCTAAAAGAGATACTGATTCTTACAGAAATATTACAGAACAGTACACACTTGTTCAATATATTCAAATTGTAATTAAGTTATTCTTGCATTTATTCCTTGAAATAGAAAAAATGACTGTCATCCTGTTTGAACATCAAGGTGCTGTGTTGCCTCTATCCTAGAATCTTACTCCATCTAGTGGAACTGTTAGGAACTGCAGGATGTGGGACTGAAGAGAGTGGTTAATTCTCATGACAGTTATTCTACAGTGGTCTGTTAACCTTGATACGCAAGAAAACACAAGTGCAGCTGAAATGCTAGACTGGTTTTAAGTATATAAAATGTTCAGCCAATACATACTCTATACATGCAAATATAAAACCCAGCAGCCATATCACCCTGCAACTCATAGCCAGCAACCCCACTGAAGTTCAGCAGGTGTGAGCCTGGTCAGTACCTTAATAGGAGACCTCCTGGGAAAGCTAAGGTTACTGTTGGAAGTGGTGTTAGTGGGGCCAGCAGGGGGCGCTCAGCTCAGTCTGTGTGGGTCCTAATGCCCCAGTATAATGATGGAGACACTACACTGTAAAAAGGCACCATCCTTTGGATGAAATGTAAAACTGAGGTTTCTGTGGTTATTAAAAATCCCATGGCGCTTCTCGTAAAAAGTAGGGGTGTTACACTGGCATTCTGGCCAAATTTCTTATTGGCCCTTAACAATCATGGCCTCCTAATAATGCCCATCTACGAATTGGCTTCATTACTCTGCTCTTTTCCCCACTGATAGCTGATGTGTGGTGAGCATTCTGGTGCACTATGGCTGCCATCGCATCATCCAGGTGGGGCTGCACATTGGTGGTGGTGGAGGGGATCCCCATTACCTGTAAAGCGCTTTGAGTGGAGCATCCAGAAAAGTGCTATGTAAATGGAAGGAACTATTATTATTATTATTATTATTATTATATAAAAGTAACCTCTAAACTACAGGTAGCAGTTAAAGTACTTTGCAGCTCTCTTATATATAATTCCCAGAAACATGTCAAAGTGGTACAGGACCTTCATCTCCCCCATTACCTTGGCCACACTAACTCCACGAGTTCCGGGCAGCGGATAATTTCAATGATTTCATGGTCATCTTCAGCTTAGATGATACAGCATGCTGGAGGTAGCTTGGGCCACTGATCACAGGGCAGGCCTGTGGAGTGCAGGAAAGAGCTCTTTCCTTGGGTCTCTGTAGAGACTAGTTTAGTTTACTTAGAAACGGCGGTGGTCACACCCACACACTGGACTGGATAATGGCTCCACTCAGCTTTCGTGGAAACCCGTTTTAGGATTTTCACACTGAAACTAAAAACTAACCCTGACCGGGCTTCACAAAGAGCTCCAGTGTGCTTGTGCTCCTCACACGCTGACTGCACTGAGTTCTGCAAAGCCCTAGGGAAAACCATGAAGCAATTCCTTCACAAGCATCAGCCTCCTGGCCATGCAACGCTGTTCGAAATTCCTAGGTTTTACAAAATGTGCACTTCAAAAAATAACACAATTATTCCAATTTGATGCCCTGACATTCGATCAAAGTTGTTGCACTGCAATCTAAAACAACGCATAGATGACATAATGCCATACATCCAGACAACAGTTTATCTTTCATCTGGGAATGAGATTAAGTTAAACAGCTTATTGTAAAATCCCACACTGTGCAAATTTGCTTTGTCACTGTTTCAACTGTCAGAGTTTGTCTATGGTAGCATGTTTTATAAATACACTGAATTTAAAGACACCTGACATTAAAGTTATTCATTATGAGCACCATACGTGACCTCCGAAAGCATTTTTTAACAGAAAATAGGGAAATGAGAATGAACATATGAAGTATTTGGATTCGAGGTATTTTAGTAGATGATGCACAGTTCACACTGCACATAAGGGCTGGATATCAGGACAACCTTCTGGTTTCTCATAGACCACTGCAATGATTATTGTTGATTTTTTATAAACCACTGTTTTTGGTTGTTCCAATATCAGGATGTGGGCTTGATGGGTTCTGTGTGTCGAGGATGGATCTGTGTCCATTTATGCTGGTCGATTGCTGTGAAGCAGGAAGGCACTGGCCAATCCCAGAGGAGCTCTTGTCTCTCTGGGTGGACCTTGCTCTCTCCATTCTCCCCTCTATCTCCCGCGATGTTTGCACAAGCACTGCAGCCGTGAGAACCCCTCACCTGGCTGGCAGGTGGCAAACGCAAAAGAAAACCAAGCGGTCAGTTGTAGCCTGACAGCACCTCTGGCAGGACTCACAAGGATCAGAGGAAGATTACCAGCCCCTGTTCTAACACACACAGACTGAGGGAGAGGCACTTCGAGAGGATCCGTCTTGGGTGAAACAAAATAAGATAAAACCAGAAGGAGCCACCCGAACAGGAGGCCAGTTCTGCAGGTGTGAGGGACCTGTAAGAGAAATCTGCTTCTCTGCCCTCATGGAGGACAGAACCTCAGGCCTGAGACACCTGGGCACCCAGCACCCAACTGAAGAGCCAGCTGGGAAGAGCAGGGATGGTGAGTGAAAGCCCAACTTGGCACATGAGCGGTTGGCTGGAAGGGATATTGCTTTATTTATTTTAAAATTAAAGGGGAATTTTACAGGAATATTACAACATTTTGGGTGGCATAGTAGTGTAGCATTTAACACACCTGCCTCACGTTTCTTAGTTTCTTGTGTCCTGTGATCAGTTCCCAACTGGGGCCCTTGTATGGTTTCCCCAGGCTTGTGTGCTGCTTGTCTGGCTTCTCCTGGTTCCTCCAACCTTCCTTAGATCTGCCAGCTACTGTAGGAAAACTGGCTTGTGTCTATCAACTGTGAGCCCTGTGACTGGCATCCTGTCCAAGCTGTAGCCCCTCTCATGCCCTGTGCTTCCAGACAGGGGTGCCTCTGTAGGAACAGGAGGCTTTCTGATGATTCAAGGATGAACAGATCACTGCATTTCTGTGGCTAAACCACAGCAGAACCTCTAGAGCCACTGTGCAGAAGCTGGGATTGAGTAACTGAAATTTAAAATATCAATTTCAGATCACAACAACAAGCCTAGAATCTAAAAATCTGCAATTACTCTGAAAAAAGAAAGAAAACTACAAATTGGCAACACAGTTAAATTTTCCATAAGTGCTTATTCTATTTAACCGTAACCTGGGTAATTCTGTTATACTGTACACTAGACTGCACACAGATATGCTGAATTGAATTGTATTGTCCATGAAGAAGAGCTGCACAAGAAGATGAAGGGGGACATTGTACCACTAGGTAGGGTGTCATTCAAGACTGAAGTCCTGTCATCTTAAGAAGTGTAGTATGTAATTGATATTTCTTCAGACAACAAAAGGCTACTGTAACCAAGACCAAACGTTATAGTGTTTGGCTTGAATTATTTCCATCTTAAAATATAACTGAAAAATACTCCCTAAAATAAAATCCATTAGAGGCTGAAACTCTGCCTCCCTTCTCGGTTGCCTTCCCGAGCAGGGCTGACTCAGCACTAAGGAAGCTCACAGACTGCACAGATGATCCCACTCCACATCACCACAAGGGGCACTGACAATAGACACCTCCTGATACAGAGGGGTATCAGACGTTCTGGGGCAGTCTTTGATGTTTTATTAATGCCTTATAATAAAGGCTTGCTTGAACAAACAGATAATCCTTCAGGATCGGGAGGAGGAACCGAGGGCAGTCTGGATAACAGCGAATAAACCATCTTGGCATGTTAATGAAGAACAGGGATTAGACAGACTTATTAAGAAAGTGAATCCACTCTTATTCTCACATACTTTTGTGTTGACTTCCAGCAAACTGAATAGATAAAGAGTTTAGAAAGAAACGAACAGTCTCACTCTCAAAAGATACGTTGGCTCTGGCCAAGGTGTGTGTTCTCTTCTAGCAAAGGGGCACCAACACGAGGAGAAAGGGCAGCATGTGTTTCACTGTTAGTAATACACCAGACCCCCAGGGAAAATCAGTTTAAATGTTAATGTGTAGGCTGGGCCTCTGGGGTCTCCACTGAATAAGGGCTCACTGTTAAAAGCAGCTCATTTTTCAGTTCTTCAGCTCAGCGGAGTGCAGAGCAGCAAGGGCCTAAAGGAGACCCCGATTAAGTTCTCTAGCAGCACCGTGTCACTGATGGAATTTATAAAGCTGATGTCCGACCTGCTGCTGTTGGGAGTCATGAAAGTCGGCTGGCAAGAGAATGTACCCTCTCCTATGTACAGTTCAGTCTGTGCACATATCACTGCACACATTTCGTGTACACAGATAAGAAAAGGACTCGTTGTCTGTTTTATTACTTTAAAAGGTTCTAGAATTCACGAGTCACGGCCGGACGGAAGGCTTAATTCAAAAGTAATGGAAGGAAAATAAAAGACAGCTTGTAAACACATGTATTGTGCAATATAATTCACAAACAAAAACGTTACAATATGTGATTTTTAAAATGATTTTCAACCAAAACAGACTTACGGTTTTATTAATATCTGCTACATACCTTTGTTCTGGCCAAGATGTTCAACTCGTAATCAGTTCCTTTCTTGAATTGCAGCAGTTAAGAGCTACTCCGTTTTCAAAAACTTCATGCAGTGCTGTCGCAAATAACCACCCGCCGGCGGTATTCCGACTATTTCCCACAATAAAACACACGAATAGCGTGCACTCGCTCGGAGACACCACGACTTACAAAGAAGCAAAGAATACAAGCTAAGGCTAAAACTGAAACAAGCTCAGTACTAAAAAATTGCACGTTCTTTCCAGACGATCCTACAAGAGAATTCTGTAAATAAGTTGATATAATAATAATACCAAGTTGTAATGCGAATATCACAGTGACTTATTTATTTAGTGAAATATTGATACTCTGTCTAGAGCGACGTGTACTGTGCGTAAACAGAGAATCCGAGTTAACCATCACATCCCTCCAATACAATTCCTCGTTTGAAAGTCTGATTGTTTGTCGCGTGGGAAGGAGGCTGTTTTCCACACAATTATCAGCTTTAACGCAGAATTGCGAAGTAAATGATTGCTGTGAACCCCTCACCCCTGCCAGGCGCGCTGCACAATAACCCTTCTGTCTCGAAGTGATTGTGAAGCGGCTCCTGTCGGGGCGCCGATGGTGTGAAACTGCGGGTAACAGCGTGGCGCAAGTGTTAAGTTTCCTGCTGTCGAAGCGTTTTCATTAACTGCAACAGCCTCTCCATCCCTGGAGAAACTTTTAACTGTTCTCTTCACCTCCTCCTGCGCGCATGCGGCTAATTAGTGGTAGATAACAAGCAGAATTAACTGCGTTCAGATTTTAAACTTTTAACAAAACGTCACTTCTCCATATTTAAAGTTTGCCACAGCAAAAAGCTGCATAAGTGAAGCACGGAGTAGTTAGGGTGTGCTAAAGCAAGGAGACCCGTGCCAGAGCTCTGAAAAACGTGGTGAACTGCGATAAAGATTCTGCCAGTGTTCCCCGCATGCCCCCAGGTAAAAGAGGCTGGAGTGACAGTGCGGTGTCTCACTCTCTCCCTGTCCCCGTGTCCCGCAGAGCCGCTCCACACCACTGACCTGCACGCGCCTGCGCTGCTGCCGCCCGGCTGGGACAGGTAACCGCGCGCCGGCCCCGCTCCGCGTGAGCCCCGTGTCCCGGGACAATCCTGGGATAATCCTGCTCTCGAGCAGGCGAGTCGCGCACTTCGGGCGGTAGGGCACAACGTTTCTGAAGGTCAGACGAAGAAACGAAAACAAAAGTGTTCTGTTGCAGTGAAGGTTCGGATGCTCTTGCGTGCTGGCAGCGGCGGAGTGGACTGAGAGTCTGTAGCGCAGGTATTTAATTCAGAGAAACAGGGTTAAACTCTCAGACCCCTCCCCCCGTGAAATAAGAGCAGAAGCAGCCGGTTTGAACGGTATGGTCTGACCTCAAACACAGGCAAGAGTTCTTGCCCTGCTGGAGCTCCTGCTGCTGGTCCGGGGGCACGTGACTCACGCGAAGGGGTCCCGGGAATCCCGAGTCTTCCCGAGTTTCTGGGGGAACGGTGCCCGGTGGTCAATGTTGGCTTTTGTTTTCATTAATAAATGCGAAATAGAATAACCATTAACAATTTAATTTAGGAGGAGAGAAGGGTGCTTGAGATGTTCTGCAGATGTACTCCTCGGACCCGCCTGCCCTCGCTGGTGTGAAAGGCCAGGAGGCATCACCACGCGTGACCCTGACGCGGCGGTGCTGGGGCCACGCGGCTAGCAGGCCACACCAGCAGCAAGGAGCTGAGCCCCTAGAGTAGAGCAGTCTCATTCTTATCGTCTGATCTAGCCTGCTGAAGGACTTATTTACTGATGCAAATTACTTAACATTACAAAGTAACTCAGTATGAAACAATTTACTTTGTACTGATTTTGTCTCTTGAAGATATTGTGCTTCTATGACATATGACTATTGCATACTTAGGGCAACATTTCCTGAACATTAGCAGTGGCATGTGCTCATGCAAAGACATCATGGCTCCTATAAATGTAACATTCCTTAACAAAAAGACAAGATCTTCATATTAAATCGAAATGTTTTATTCTTTGCCTGCGTATTTCAGTTACTAGGAGTTGTATCAATATTATTTGTTCTTTGATTTAAATTCACCCTTCCATTTGCCAACTGCTTTATCCAATTCAGTGTATCAGGGGAGCCGGAGTCTATCCCAGCAAGCAACAGGTGCAAGGCAGCGTACAGCCTGGAGGGGCGCCAGTCCATCACAGGACAGACCGACATAAACGCACTTGCACCAGGGCCAATTTCCCAAAAGCTGATTAATCTACCAGTATGTTTTCGGACTAGTAGGAAACCAGAGCACCCAGAGGAAACCCATGCAAACATGGGGAGACCATACAAACTCCACACAGACACCACCCCAGGATTTGAATTCGGGGCACCAGCAATAAGGCTGCAATGCTAAAATTGTGCCACTGTGTTGTTCACTGATCCATTGAAATCCATTGAAAGAAAACACAAGCTCCTAATCAATGTCTAATCCTACATCACCAATAGTTTTTTATCATTTTAGTTGGCTGAATTCACTTGTGTAATACATTTGCTGAGGGGGCAAAGTCAACTTAATTCATAATATGAAAGCAAACTATATCCATGCTTCTGCTAATCATAATAATGAGCCATTTTAAAGATCTTCTTACTGCTTTTCTGCAAGAGACAGTGCTTCTGTGTGTCTGCCCGGTGCTGAGACAGGCTGAGTATGATAATGATCTGAGTGCATTATACTTCCTTGGGCTAAAAGCTTCCACAATGCCAGTGGTGGCCACTGCACAGGAGTTTCTCAGGGTCTCAGGACAATTGCTATTCAAGTTCCCTCCCGGCACAGTAATGTGCTGAAAAGAGGTTGATTTAAAAGGACAATAGCGGTTAGTGACCTGGCTGGAATTGCCCTTTAATGTTTAAAATTGGACCCTGCTGACTCCTTTCAGTACTTTTTCAGGACAGCTGGACTATTGTTATTGCTGGGCATTTTTAACATTCTATTAATTATGAGCTGCATTCCATGGCAGGTGTCTGGGACTTAATATAGAGAATATCTTTCTTTTGTCTAAAGATCTATTTCAGCTTGAAGTTCTCACCCAGAGCATCAAGACATTACTCAGAAAAAAACATCAATAACAGTTACAGACACTTTTGTGCAAGAGTGTGGCAGATCTGGTTAGTTAATTTGTGTATTAAAGCATGCATGCAGTAAATTAGCAAAGACATACAAAAAGACTTTAACCCTTAAAGCTCACGTCGCAGAAGATGGTACAGTCGTATGCTTTTCTTATCTGAAGATTGTTTACTCTTGTGCCGCATATGCAGAGCATCAATCTTCTAATTGAGCTTCCCAGCCACTGTGTCAATCTTGTCAATTGGAAACAGATGAAGAGCTTTTGATCTGCCATCCCTGTAGCAGTTCTGCTTCGGTTTCTCTCTGTCCTATATTTGTTTATCGGGAAAGTTGATATCTGGCACAGCTTATGTACACATGCATCAAGGCTGGTTTTGTTTCAGAAAGGAACATTTGAACACTACAGCAGAAAGATTATTCAAGGATTATTTTTATTTAAAAAATGTAAATGAACTTGATTTACTATGTAGCAACACACAAAATGAAAACCGGTGAACTAAGGGAGTAGTTTAGCTGCAGTATAGTGGAAAAATGGGACGGAGACTTTTTGGTTACATTGTGGCACATCGCTCTGTGGAATCTGTTTCTCCCAAGGAATGTAATAATGACTGCTGAGACAGAATAAATCTGAAACAGCTGAATGTACTTTTATGAAATGTATGAAAATGAACAGTATTTAATTCCCAAGATTAATTCAGGGTGTTCTGTTCCTTTACATTGCAGTCTGGCGGTCAGGGCTGGAATTTTAGCCACAAATGTGGCCCCTTGACTTGACTGTCTGAGAAAGTTCTGAAAGAGGACAATTAATCATATTCTGTTGTTTATATTTCATGTGATAGACATGACAATTAAAGATGCAAATTCCATGTTATGAATGTTCTTAATCTAATAATACACACATTCAGTTCTCTCTTTTCTATTTTCAACAGGGCTATTAATTTAAAAGATTAACTAATATTACAATTGCTAAAGAATCTGTGATGAATGCTGTATAATATCTTGTACGTCACTTGCAAATAATTGACCGTATTTTTTTTAGTCTTGTTATTCTAGTCTCTAGTATTCCTTACAGCAGTCACACCAATGCTTTGACATTCCTTGAGCTGCTTTCTTGACATAATGAAAATGTCTAAAAGCTCTCACATACTACTGTGCTGGAGTCAGCCAGTGAGTAACAAGCTCTCTGTGGCTGGGCCACATTCGCTGTGCAGGACAGACCCGGAGCGACCCGGAATCACACGCAGTTCAGTCCGGCAGTACCTGCAGTTCCTCCCAGACCAGTCTGTGCTCATCCTGCATGCCAAGGTGGCGCAGAAGTCCTACGGTAACGAGAAACGGTGAGGCACAAGAATCCCAATCCAGGCCCCTAGAAACACTTGAGTAGCATCTGTAAGACATCGTCAGGCATCAGCACTCAGCCTGAAGCCTGGCCAGGACCCTAAACACGGAGAGCTCCAGCTGGACTGAGCCGGCTGGGGGACTTGCACTCGCAGTCCTCCTGTGACACTGAGAGGGGATGAGCTGGCCAGCGGCTTTGGAAACATACACAATTTCTACATTTTCAGAAAACAGACTTCATAGATTGTACCACTGTTATGTTTCAGTGCAATAGATTTCTGTTTGTCGTGTCATAATAGTCTCTCGATATTTGGCGTTGATCTTATTCCACAGGGTTGTGAAATTACTTGGATGCTTTTAGATCAGATTTTTGTGATGCACAGTTAATCAAAACTTTAGTCAACTGCTCTACACCACCCTTTAAATGTTCCTTTTTCCCTGAATTGAATGACCTGAATTCCATTTAGTTTAATGTGCTTTTTATATGAGACCAATGTTTACTGTCTGGGTCATGGTTGTAAATTAACATTTGTGGGAGATGGAGGCTCGCCTTGTTTTTCCTCAGATTCTTCTGCCCTCCTCCATGTGTCTACCTCACTGGGCCAGGCTGGAAACTCAAACAGGAACTGCTGAAAGGTACAGGCGCTCATAACATGGTAACCAATCTGCTGGCCCTGGATCAGAGTGGGTTTTAAACATGGACCCAATAGAGACCCACTCTTCTTCTCTGAGGCTGATGCAATTTCAGTCTGTTCTGCTTTACTGAGTCAGTGTACTGAGCTGGAGATGGTTGGGATGCAGGACAGAGCTCTAGTTCCTCTAGTATTGCAACTGGGTCAAACATCTCTGTCTTTCCCTGCCCATCAGCCAGCGGTCTGGGAGACTCCAGCTGCAGGGTGCGGGGCTACATGGGGCTGGACAGCGCTGGCGTCACCCAGAGCAACACCCTGAAACTCAATTTTGAGGAACAGCTGGACTCAAAGGTACAGCAAGAAGCCACAGCTGGAGACAGATTCATCCAAAGCCATTGAGTGATTGTACTCCCAGCTCTGCAGTTTAGATAGAGCTGAAATTAAAAACCATAATTTTACACACATGAAACAGCATCACAAAGTTGACATGACAAGGCTACAGGACCTGAAATGGTTACAAGAGGATGGTGGATTAAAATCTCTATGTAGACACTGGTATATACTCTCCAGCAAGATGCTGGATGCCCACCTGTGTAAATTCTAGAAGAGTCCTGTGCTCTCTACAGCTGCACACTACAGAAATAAGGTCCAGGCCCATCCATTATTCTCTTAGGTCTTTATCTTTTAAAGAGCTGGAAATGAACATGAAGGTCCGAACTAAAACAATTCTGACGGTTTCTTTTCAGATGTTTGGCTGTGCAAAGGCTCTGTACATCTCTGATGCTGACAAAAGGAAACACTTCAGGCTGGTTTTGAAGCTGTTCTTCAGCAATGGGCAGGAGATAGGCTCCTTTTACAGTAGGCAGATCAAGGTGATCTCTAAGCCATCCCAGAAAAAGCAGTCCATGAAGAATGCAGACTGTAAGTGCACGCTGGCGTTGAGAGACCATGTGTCTTACCAAACTACTTCCATAAGTTTCTGTTCTGCTTTCCCTTTGTGCTGGAACATGCTTTTACTGTGTCACTGTGTTCATTGTATTTTTCTCTTATATAACTGGACCTCAGGAAATCTCTGGTTAATTGCTATAGCCAGTACAATCTTGGGAGGGGAAAGAGTGGCAGTCAGTGCTGCCAGTAACACTGCCTGAGATTGCACTACCTGTTACCAGAAAGGAAAGGATATGACAAATGCAGGCAAGCTGAGATCACAGCTACTGTAAATATTTTGGTGACAGAGCATTTCTTTCATTACTGTGGCAAAGGTCAAAGAAAATGTGTGGGTGTACTGATTTTAAAAAGCTATACATACTGCAAGCTGTAAACAGTATATTATTCAAAACACAAAGATAGTTTAGCAAAGGCAACAGTCTGACTGGTGGTATTACATTCCTTAATTTATGTGTAGGAGGAAAAATACATGTCTCTATAAAAAGAAAAAATGGAACATAGCAATGTGATCTGGAAGAAGCTTAGTTTATGATTTATGGAACCACGTGGTTAACTGTGTGGAAAGATCCCTTCTCATGTAATTATTATTAAAACCGCAGCAGTAGGTACTCTGTAGCTACAGTATAGGCATTTTTTTACAATATACAGTGTTTTACATGATTGCTTTGTTTTCACTGTTGGAGATTATTGTGAACTGCACCACAACATTTCCACAACTGAGGAAATAATATATTTCCTTACATAAAAGTGTAATAAATGAATATAGTCTTTAAGAAACCACTCTGCTTTTTAAAAAAGCACCTTTTCACAGTCACACCCCTTCACAGTGCTTTGCACAGTCAGGCCAGTGCAGGGCTGGGGCATAGTCATGGCGCAGAAAGTGGCAGAAACATTCCCTGCACGACAAGTTATGTGTAAAAGACAGGAGCGGTTCTGTTTGTAAAGTCGGCTGTAATAAAGACCTTATTTTTCTCTGTGAATGACTAGGAAGCTGCGTGCATTGTAAATAAATTGAAAGGGGAGCTCCAGCAAAGAAGACTGGCCTTGGGTGTAATAAAGTTTCCTTTGTCAAACACTTCTTGCCAACACTGTGCAGCCCTGCTGGTCTGCAGAGTGGAAATATCACACAGAGGCCCGGCCCCTGATGGGGGATCTTCACCGCCTGCGTGTCGTTGCAGTGTGCATTTCCTCGGGCTCCAGGGTGTCCCTGTTCAACCGGCTGCGCTCCCAGACCGTCAGCACGCGGTACCTCTCCGTGGAGGGAGGGGCTTTCGTGGCCAGTGCCAGGCAGTGGGCAGCCTTCACCATTACCCTGGGTATGACCTGCCCCCACCCACACACACATGCACATGCATGCATTCACATACACACACACATACACACATTTGACACATACACATACACATGCACACAGCACATACACACACATACACATGCATGCACACCTACAGTATATGCACAGGCACATACTCATGTACACATGCATGTATGCACACACATGCATGCATACACACATACATTCACAACACACATGAACACACACAAATACAGATGTACACACATGCACACACACACATCTGAGGCCTCGCTCACTCCTGCTCCCTCACCTCTGACACTGGTCACTGGTGACCTGTCACACACCACTAGTTCTTGTTTGGTTGGTCCTGTTAGTTCCTTTCTTTTGTTTCCTCCTTCAGTCTGTACCTGCCTTGCAGATAACTCATGTCATTGTGATTTGTAGTTTGTGTGCTCACCAGAGCTTTGCGACGTGTGCAGTGAGTGGTGCTCACCCAGGTGCCCAGGTGGCCTGATATCTGTGCCCTGTCTCTGTGTTCAGGGGGCGAGCAGCAGGCTGAGCAGGGGCAGTACCCGCCGCGTGAGGGCTACATCTGCTACGGCTGCAGTGTGCGGCTGGTGTGCACCGGCACTGGGGTGGCCCTGCCCCCCATGGTAAATACCTGACCCCCCCTTTTCCCATAGTGACCCTCGGCTGGTTAGTCCTGCAAGGAGGTCTGGTGGATCAGCCCTGAGCTGTACGTGTGAGTCAGCTTAGGAAAATGTCAGTAGCTCTATATGCAGTAGATGCCTTTTGCTGACTTGTGTTTTTGTTTTGTGGCTTGTTTTTATGCAGACTTGGTTTTAAAACACATGGTCATACTATACACGGTTTGAGAAAGGCTCTACTTGTGTACACAAGCCTCAAGTCCTGTGACTGTGCAGGGGCTGCTGCTGGCATGCTCCTCACTGATGGGCTTGACTCTTTCTGTGCCCACTCCTGCTGGGGCACAGTGTGGTGGTGAGGCAAAGATGAGGCTGAGCCAGAATGAATAAGAAAATGTGTCAGAATTGAGTGACTAGAGCAGCACACTGTGCACCACAGACAAATGCCAGATCTACACTGAGCCTCCCTACAAACCATGTTCTCAGGAGGAGGAGCACAGCCTGTTTTACTTCATGGAAAAGACACTGTATTAGATGATTCTGGGAGGAAAGTGAACTATTATTCATACTGAATGTTTGAGCATTACTATCCTTAAAGCACTAGTTTGCTTTCTCTCTGGAACAGATGTCGGATGTTTGAAATAGTGGGCTGTGTGGTGATGTTATTGTAACAAACGTGAGAATTGGTGTGTTCTGCTGTTAACCTTGTCAGTCATGTGAGACCCTGTAGTTTGCTCTGAGCACCAGTGCAATAACCTACATCTGGGACTCAGGGCTCAGTGATAGATTCCACATTTGCCCTCTTTTGCTCTCAGACCTCAGATCTGTGATGTGTCAGCAGCTCCTTGAACTCTGTCCACTCTCAGTGCTCAGTCTCTGCTAGGGGTGTATTTTCAGTCTCGCAATGCTGAGGATTTTAAACAGTTAGTCAAGAATTCTTTCTTAATTCTAGTCTGCAGTGTCATATTCACCACAGGGTAATTCTTCCAAGCAGATTCTTGGCATAAAGGCTTTGCATAATTTATTTTATTTTAAAATGGAACATGCCAATAAATCTTTGAAGTATAATCAGTGTTCACCACTTCCTTTGTCAGACAATGTAAGCAAAAAGTAGCTAAAGTAGCTATTTATCTGTAGCTGTGAAGTGAATGCAGTGACATCATTATTATGCCTTAATGTACCTTTGCAGGTAATCAGGAAGGTAAACAAGCAGCATGCCATGCTGGATGTGAATGAACCGGTCTCCCAGCTGCACAAGTGTGCTTTCCAGTTCAAAGACAGCAGCAGGATGTACTTATGTCTCTCCAATGAAAAAATCATACAGTTTCAGGTATTCTCCACGCATGCTTTGTTACCCTCTGCAAGCAAATCTGGATTTCTACCTCAGGATTCATTGTGTTGCAGTAGCACCTTGGTACTGATATTAAATTGATTTATCCCTGAGTTTTTAATTTCCAAGGACTGTTACTCAATATTGCCAAATGATTGGAAATGCTTCTCAAGAGATGCAGTCCTCACCCCCTCTGGAGAGGGTCATTCAAATGAGAACAAGAGCCGCTGTGCTTCATTGCTGCTAGAACTGCAGCCTGTAGTGTGTCAGAACAGCGAGTTCCCAGCTGCTCTTCTGTTTGTGTTAGTCATCCTTTAGAAAGGGAAATGACAAGTTTAAGGCTTTTTTTGTTTTACGAGATTATGACATTGATGGAATGTAAAGGGAGACTCTGAGAACTGTGCTCTCCACTGGGCAGTGGTTAAGTGGAAGGATCAGCCAGCAGCTTGTAAAGACAGTGTTGCTGCCTGCAGGCCTCTCCCTGCTCCAAGGATCCCAGTAAAGAGCTGCTGAATGACGGCTCATGCTGGACCATCATTGGCACAGAGATGGTGGAATACACATTCAGTGAGAGCCTGGCCTGCCTGCAGGGCCCTGTCACTCCCATCCCACTCATCAGCACTCTGGAGGTGAGGGAGAGACACACTGCATACAGCCTTAATTCCACTGTATCACCTGAAATATCTGTCCACATTAGCACCTTTCCATGTCCTAATACTGGGTCAAGTATTTAAAATTTAATCTCTATAAGAATCTGTCTGCAAATATTATAGCATGGTTTTCAGAAAACTGCGTATTATTGATTGTTGACAGTGATTGTGAGTAAAAGGCCACTTCCTAGCCATCACTGTGGAATGGTACCCAGTTTTGAATTTATAGAGCACTTTGCACCATGCAGTTGCTTTGTCACTCAGTCTGACTCCGTGATCTCTGCTCCTGAAAGCTGAATGGTGGTGGAGATGTGGCCATGCTGGAGATCCAAGGAGAGAACTTCAGCCCCAGCCTGAAGGTCTGGTTTGGAGATGTAGAAGCAGAGACCATGTACAGGTGAGAGACTGTCCTGCTTCCTGAGATGATGGGAGAGAAGGGCAGGGGCCACATTCACAGTCTTACATTATAAGGTTCAGTTCAGGCTTACCACTGGATGTTTTCCTGCTTTCTTTACTGTTTTTGTGGCAGTTGCATCCAGTAAGAATTTTCTGTTTTAAAATCAATTCTAAATTAATTCTGATGTCTTATTTTTGGAGGTTGCATTAAAGCGCTGTATAAAATTGAACAACAGATTTCTAAGTAATTAGGAAATGAAGACAGGGAATAATGACTTAAATGATAATTCACAGTTATTTGCAAAGCAGGTAGTGGAGAATATTAGCAGAATACCTGAAAGTTTTCTGCTGGTTAATCAGTGAAGTGATGACAATGTAACCGTGTGTGATTTGGCTAGTTTTCCACAGCAGGCTTGCATGTCTGTCTCATTGCTGTACACCTGCAGGAGCCCCAAGTCCATGTTGTGTGTGGTGCCTGACGTGTCTGTGTTCAGCGGAGAGTGGCGATGGCAGAGACACCCCATCACGGTGCCCCTGTCCCTGATCCGCACTGATGGGCTGATCTACCGCAGCTCCTTCTCCTTCACCTTCACGCCCGAATTGAGCCCCCTGATCAGGTCCAGAGCCCCACCAGAGTGTCCCCCTGACTCCGACTCGCTGATCAACACCATCCATCAGGAGTTCACTCGCACCAACTTCCACCTCTTCATGCAGAGCTAATCCTGGACCATCGATCAAGACACATTCCACCCCATAAAGACAGGGGACACACAAAACAATTCTGAACAAGCGCAAAAATAATTAAGCCTCCAGTTATTCAGTGCTGCTCAGGAACCAGCAGAGCCATGCCTCGGCCTGAGGTGGGCATCCTGGATGTGCTAGAGGAGACCTGTGTGAACTGGAGGTGTCACCCACAGGCTGTAATTAGAGCTGCAGGATCTCACATCTCAGAGCTCTTTGAACTGGAGGAGATGGAGCGGCTCAGAATCCTCGGGGCCACGATGCATGTGATCCAGGCTCCCCTCCTCTTCTCTGTAAGTGTGATGGCTGTGAAAGTGGGACTATGTCTGCTTCCGTCTGTCAGCCATGGCTAAGAACAGTGACACTGGCTCTCTCCCTCAGCTCCACGTTTCTCTTTTGCCATCTTTGTACTGCACAATGGACAGCATGAAAACAGAGAGAGACAGAATTAGCAAAGTCTCATTGAGAAACTGGTAATGCAAAGGTGATGTTTCATAACTTTAATATATGCAGGAAGTTTAATTGGTATTTGTATTTGCAGGAAGGCTAGATATTGCTTGGACTACTCCTTGTTTCATAGGATTACATACATTTGCATGACTCACCTTAAATTGCCCTCCTGGGATGAGTTAAGTATTTTGAATTGAATTGAATTAAACGCTGGAAAGGCTTTTCCAATCAGAAAGTCTAAAAAGCACTGCAGAGAAGAGCAGAATACATGAGAATCTTGTTTTTTTAATCTCTACACAATTCTGGGAGTGTGATAGTGAGATGAGTCATTTCATTCTGCAGGGGCTCAGGAAATGTCAAAAGCTACAACGAATTATACAGTATGTCATCCAGTTCGTTGAGCTGGATGAGAAGAGAAACAGTTTTTAAAAAGTTCAGTGAATTGGGCAGGAAACAGAAAGCTCAGCTGACATAGAAAAATACTCAACAACACAAATTAGACTGCCTTGCATTATTCTGAGCAAGTGTAGGCAGACTCCTCTGTCCCAGCCATCTTTAAGTCAGCACTGATGGGTGGAAAGGTGCGCCCCTCGTCGAGAGACGGAGGGGTCACTGTGTCGCCGGGTCCTCCCGCCCTCTCCCTGCCCTCTGGCTGGGGAATTGGGAGGTGTAATTGGAAGAATTCTGCACAATGGTACAGCAATTGAAAAGCAAGTAACAATGAGGAAAGTGAGAGAATTCATGCGTGTGGAGGTTCGGCAGTGGGTCTGCATGTCTTCCTGCGTGTCATCATGCTATCTGACTGATATTTAAGCGTCTAAATTACACACATTGAGATATAATTCTACTCAGGAACATGGGAAGAGAACAATGAGTTTCCAACACCTCTCACCTGACAGCTTATTAAAAGTTGATCCAGCCTGTGAGCCCTGAGCCCACAGTCCGCTCTCTCACACAACCACAGCAAGGGGTCCAGAACTTCAGCCAAGACTCCTTTGATTCCCCCAAGAGCTTAATGAGTTGACAAATTGTAATTTTACAGCTGGAGACTGGCAATGCACTATATTTTACAACAAATATTTGAACAGCTTATGATTTATATCTGCAAGGCCAATACTTTAATAATTGCAGCAGAGCTAGTGGTCATGGAAAATTAGTTTTGGGAAAGTTAAAAAAATTTCATGGAACAGACCAATAATATTCCTTGTAATATGTGATGGGTTTATTATTCCCAGTCACGCAGAACACTTCCTAATATTAAAGAAGTTTATGGGATTTTGAGAAAATGTAAGGTAAAGGTAAACAGTGGATGATTATTTCACTTTGTTTTTCACTTTGTGCTTCTCAACTTCCATCAGGTTCTACAAACACATCAAAATAGCATTAAACTGCATATATCAGCAAAGAAAACCTTTTTACTTTAGAACAGAATTAATCATTTTAAAAGATCTATCAGTGAAATTATTTACACCCTAAAAACAATACAAGAATGTTTTAATAAAAACAGTGGGTATTTTAAAAAATTGAGAATTTGCTTTGTTTTTTTTCTTCTGCAGTGTTTACACAAATCAACTCATACAGCTGTATTTATCTGAGCATTTTCTATCCCTCCTCTTCTGTAGGTGTGCTGAGTGCTTGGCATCAGCCAGGAACACCTGGCAGTACTGTACAGCCTCCCACCGATACAGGGAGGCATTTTGCTTTGAAAGAAGCTGCTGTTTCTCAAACTGAAGGTGTCACGCTTATTTACACAAAGGGCTGTAGGAGGCTGGAGTATTACCCTTGCTCTGGTTTTGATGACAGCTCCTCACATTGCAGCAGAGAAGGTACAAATTAGAAAAGCCATTCCAGCCTAGTCTGCATGGTCTGGGAGGAATTCTGGTGAAAAGCAGAAGTTTTCCATCTTTAATAGTCTTCCAAGATTTGATTTCTGACACTTGCAGTATTTGATTTTTGACACTTGCAGTATTTCTGACACTTGCAGTACCAATTAGTTTGCTGAGGTATGTATATGTATCAGGCTGTCCAGAATTTAAACTGCATGAATCAGTTTAGGAACGTCAGGTTTATAAGCCAATGAAACAGAACACGTGTTCTTTTCTCTCATTCAGGATTACTGAAAGATAAATCCCCTCTTTTGTGCAGGAAAGGCTGCACTTTGGAGAATTAATGAGGCACGTCATTGTGAGGGATCTGTGTTACCATGTATCTTACATCGTTCAAAGGATTAAAATGTTTGGGATTCTTTGCATTACAATATTATCTCTCCAATTATCCCACAGAGAGATGAGGGGCATTAACAAGATGCTTTCAGCTGGTCATAAGCCTCTGAAAGAGTCACTGATCTTGAGCCAGTGTGGAGGGAATGACATGGCTGTTTTAAGAGGAATATCAGCCTTAGAAGAAGGATGGATATTCATCACTCTGCTGCTGCACATCCCTAAGACACAAGACAGCACAGAGCATGCTTCCAGAATTATTTATATTCCCAGCACTGGTGTCATGCAGCGTGTATAAAAGTTGGATAACCTGAAAATGCGTAGTTTATAAAATTGTGGACTTAAGAAAAGTTGAAAAGCCGGTTGTACTTGTCATTTTCCAATGCATTATCTGGTTGTACCATTTCAAACACAGGTTTGAAAGTGCCCACATCTCTGCTCTGCAGCACATCTCTTGTGTGTGTTCCATCCCCCACATTGATAACTCTGTGTTTTCTAGTACTGGTGCAAACCTGGCTTACAAAAAAAAAATAATAAAGCATTCCTTGAAGAGATCCTTTCAATACAAGCTTTACATTTGCACAAAGTCTAGAAGGTCAGCACCTTCTAGGCCTGTTTCTGTGCTGGGAAGACCCTCAGGCATTCTTTGCCATTCCCATCAAACACAACGCTGCTGGAAAATGCATTTTAGAACATCAATGCTAAAGAGAAGGGGCCTCACAGAGGCAGCAGTATCACTTGCTACTTCCCATGTCCTCTCCAACAGGAACATAACAGTGCTGTCAGAGGAGCATTGCCAGCCTGGGCAGCTGGGCAGTGGGGATGAGGAGGGTGGTATGGACTGCTGCTGATGGGCAGAGCTTGCTGGTAGGAGCAGAGTCACAGATGAGCTGCATTGCTGCTTGATTGGCTTGATTGAGTGTCACAAACTGTGCTTGTGTGTGGAAGGGTGGTATTTTCTTTTAAAAAAAACAACACATCTTACTGAACCTTTGATTCTACAGAAGCATACTATAGAACTTACACAAATAATCATTGCCTGTCAGCAAGTGACCTGTATATTTTGCTGGTTATGAAGACTGAAGTTCTGCACTACATCTGCCAGCACAGAGCTCCAGGTAGTTAGAAAAACAGGCAGTAGGCCAAGGCTGCTGCTATGGCAGACTTTGCCAGTGGCAAAGGTGGTCTGTGATAACTGGTGAAGCACCACTGACAAAGTAAAAATGAATACAATTAAAGAAGGGGGCTAAAGTTGAACCTTTGTGGATTAACTTTCTCGATAAATAAGAGGCATTCTCTCTTTCAGAGCTGGTCCAACACAGAACAGCCTGTGCCTCCAGGTCTCTCTCGCTGTGTCAGCAGCTCAGCGCTGAGCTCTGTGCTGAGGCCCCATGTCTGAGGCGCAGCCTCAGGATAAAGGCTCCTCTGTCCACACGGGCTTGTCTATCAGCTGCGCTTTGTTCTGACATTTCATCGCCCCCGTATCAAACCAAAGCAAAACCAAAAGTTTTTTTGATTGTATATCGCAGAGTGAGCCCTTGGTGCTGAGTTTTATTTATTGAAGAATCTGCTTGAACGGACTTGACTGAAATCATTTGAAGGGGGGGGGGGGGTCTAAAAAACACTGAAATATGAAAACTATTACTCCAGCAAATGCAGTGAAAATCATCTTTTTAAAACCACAGAGATATGAAATGTGATTCACTGTTGTCTTTCAAAAATAAAAGGATTAGAGATTGGGAAAAATTAGATACTACAATTGTAATAGAAAGATAATTTAATCTCCTTTGTTGCAACTTTCTTATTGTTTTCATATAAATTGCATGGTTGGGCTATTCAGTAGGAGGATGCATTGAAGCTCTGTACCCCACAAATATAATTGATATTTATTGGCTCAACAATCAGACTGCAGCTATACAGGATGCTCCTTCACCCCTCTTTCTAGGTTTTTCAGAAAATTGAGAGATGTCATAACAGAGTTGTGTGCTATTATGGTTTACATTTTAATCCCTTGTGACATAAGTAAACACTACAGCCCTTTTAGATCTTTCATTTGTACATGAAGAATTTTGAAAAAATGTACCAAGGAAACTGAATGTAAGTATAAAATTCGTGGTTTGCATGAAGAATGCAACTGTATTATTTGTAGATACTAACAACATGGAGTATCTACAAGAGGAAATTAAGAGGAGAGAGCCTTAGGCATCTCAATATCTTCATTGTATGATTTGGTTTGGAGATTTAGTGTTATTATTATGGTCAACGCAGGCAAGAGCCTTTGCACAAGGTCACAGGAGGCTGTGTGAGAAATTGTATTCTGAACCTGGAAGATCCTGCGGTGGCTCAGCAGAACAGAACTGGGTTCTGAAAGCTTTTGTGCAAAACAAATGTAACATGTAATGATGGAGATTTGTTTTTTGCCCTAGGCAGATAAACTGCATTTTGAAAGTTTGTACCCATCATGTTTTTATTAAATTTTTGGATAAAAGGAGGTTTTAAACACCACTCCTTTATTAATTTTAGAAAATTATTAAAATTAATTAAAGAAAACTCATCTGAATTGCGACTGGTGCATTTAGAAATAAAAGGCAGTGACTCATAATAAATTGAAGGGAGAGAGACCTGAGGCTGCCCACAGTTCTGTGGTCCCGGGAAAGGACAGTTTCAGCTCGAGACTGAACCGCAGAAGATTCATTTTTTTCTCTTATGTGATGAATGTATTATTGTTGGAGAAGAGAGTAGGCAAATGTCTCTTATAAAAAGAAAATGAACCATTTTCCATCCATCTATCATCAGGAAGACACTAGCCCGGATGAGAGTCGTAGAACAGCCAGGACCCAGTCCTGAAGCACGAAGCAAGACTGAGAGCATGTGACTGCTTTCAAGTTCCATAACTGATATTTGAAACAGATCTCATATTGTTAAACAATTAAGGTGCAGTTTCTCTTCGTAAAATGGCTAGATGTGATCCAACAATCTACTAGAATCCAAACAGTCATATGGAAACTAAAATGAAACCTCAGTCATGTTCTAACAAAAGAACATCCAGGACTGTACCTGAAGAGGTGTCCCAGTCTGTGGTCTATGCTGGGATGGAGCAAAGGAAATGACCTTCACATCCTCCTGCTGCGCTACGGAGAACTCACACCCCTCCCCCGTCCCTGTCAGATCAGAGAGAGATCTGCACAAACACAGGGAAGCCTCTGGAGCTCCCTCACTCCTCCCCTCTCTACATTCAGGAGAGGCTCACCCACAGCAGGGTGAGAAGGGGGCTGCACCCCACACCCCTGTTAGATCACTGGTGACACAATTATGAAATGTCACAAACATGAGTCATACCAGGAAATCTCTGCTTTCCACCAGTGCTGTGTAGAACAGAGTGTGTGCATTATTATTTTATTTTATTTTATTTCACATTTTGTGGCTCGTGGATAACAAAACACAGTCAATTTGTAAAGTAAGCATGATATATCCTGCCAGAGGAAAAAACATAATGTTTCATTGCTCCCGAAACAGCAGACATAAAAATTGCTGATATGTTACAGAAGATGAAATGTAATGATCAGCAGTAGCAGCACACTGGAGTAGCAGCAGCACAGTGCACAGTGTCAGGTTGTGCTTCATAGCTCAGTCATGTACAGTGCAGCTCATGTGTTCCTATGCTTGGAAAAATCTCCTTGCACAGCCGTTCTGCTCCAATCCTGGTGAGCTCTGCACCATGTGAGCTGAAGAGAACTCTTTCCTTACAGTTAAACCCCTCTCAGTTTCAACACAGAGCATCAGCTCCCACCCCTCCGCTCTCTCACATTGCCCAGACCACCAGCTCTGAGTGGAGGGCCTACAGGGAGGCTCCTGTATGAAGGGTAGAGAAACAAGTACTTGTCTGTGAATACAAGCTCAAGCTCAGCCTTGCTGTTCTCTGAGCACTCTGGGGCTTTGTCTGTGTGACATTTTTAAATTTACATCATTGCATTGCATTTATAATTTTAAACATACTGTATGTGATGTTCACATGTACTTGTAATTAATGTCTTCCACTTTTCATGACAAAACAGAGTGAAATATTACAGGATGCACACTACCATTAGTGCATGCACGCACATTATCAGGGATTTGTCTGTTAAAATACAAATAGATTTGTATTTGCCAAGGGCATAATGTCATATATTACAAAGCAGCTTTTATGCACCCTACTGAATTGCAACATAAACACTTAATTTTTTGCCATTGTTG